TTTATTGAAGTTAATTTTCTTTATATGATTAAAAAAAAATTATTGGGTGAAAATCTATGCTAATATTAAAGAAATTAAAAAATTGATAAAAATTAATTCATTAAGAAACTTAAAAATTATTTAAAATTTAATTCTTTAGGAAACTTAATATTTCTCTATATTATCAAAAACATTTTTTTGGCAAAAATCTGAGCTAATATTAATAAAAAAATATTTAATAAAAATTAATTCTTTATGAAATTTGATATTTTTTTTATACGTACCAAATAGTTGTTTTTCCACTTCGTTTTATAAGATTTTGAAAAAAATAGCAAAACATAATTCATTAGGAAAATTTGCTTTTAACAGAAAAAAAAAGTTTTACCTTCATTTGATATTGATGAAATAAAAATTGGTTTCACACGTAATAATAATTTTCATCTCATGTTGAGACGACTTAATGCAAATAAATTGATGTGAAAGTCAAAATGAATTGTAAATTATATTGCATCTCAAACATTATGTAAGTCAAATTAAGCATGAGCACGTGATTTGTGATTTGAGTGACACTTGGTTGGAAAGGGGGCCGAGAGAGGTTGGGATTCCCCTTTTGCGCTCCTAGACTCTCTTTCTTCACTGTTCACTGGGCCATTGTCTCGACCCGGTACGCCATTCGCATACAATATCCAATAGCGATTTGAATCTAATCTAGTTTATGGTCATTGTCACCACCTTTTGAATAATGTTACTAGATTCTGAACATATGATATTTCCTTTGGAATCAATTATTTTCCAATTTTTTTTTATTCTACCAAGTTCTATTAGGAAAAAAAATAACGAATTCACGGTGGTGAAAATCAATTTTCTTTCTACTTTTTTTTCGGCATATAAAGGGTTTTTTGTTAATTTGGTTAATGTTAATATTTGGTTTTATTAATATAGTTGAGTCAACTTTTGTGTGAGAGTTAGTAAAACGTTTATTAAAAGCAGGTCTTTGCAAATGGAAAGAAGGTCACTTGATTTGCTAAGCAGAGAATACATGAATGTCCCGTATAACGATCGAATAAGTTTGTGCTACCTTTAAGTGTGGCTCCTGCAAAGACTTATCACATGCCTTCACATTTTCTATATAACTTTTACTTAAAACTATTTAATTCTAAAAAGAGAAAATTTATTAATATTTGTGTTTTTTTTTGTTTCAGCTAATTTTGTTATGAAAAATGGAGCCCAAAATTTGGAGGTTATATCATTTCGATATAATCATTTCGATATAATCGATATCGATATAATCATTTCGATATAATCGATATCGATATAATCATTTCGATATAATCGATATCGATATAATCATTTCGATATCTCACATCGCCTTGTTTTCGGTCGGTGGACTACCAAGTAAATACGCAATGAAAACAATAATAATAAAAATATTTAATGGTGAAAATCTGAGCTAATATTAATGAAACAAAGAAAGAGGTTACAAAACAAAACCCTTAATTTTTTTATGAATATTTAAAAATTCTTTAAATGTGACTCTCCACGAAAGAAGGAAAATCGTTGAAAAAATTGCAGGTTATGTTTAGTGAGAGTTTTACCATAAAAAGTTACTTTTTAATTAAATAAAATCAAAATCAGTATTTATTAAATTTTTGAAAATGCAATAAAGGCTTAACATTAAATTGTATTAAGAGTAAATTTACTTAAAAAATTACAAACAGAATGTAAAAATTTTTTTACGTAAAATTTTCTTTCGTAGAGCGTCACAAATGATTAAAAAATTTTATTGGTGAAAATCTGAGCTAAATTCCTCAAAAAATTCAAATTACAAAAATAATCCCATAAGGCAAATTATTATTATTAGGCTAAAAATACTTAACAGAGATAAATTTTTTTTATTTATTTTTATAGGATTATTTCATTTAATGTCAAATTCTAGTTATTCTTTCATGGAACGTCAGGAATTTAAAAAATTTCGTTTTTTCTGTTCTTTTTTTTGCATTGAGTTGAAAAAGCACAGTTGCTTTTAATACAAGTTTTCAAAAAAAAAATGAAACCAATATCCCCATTTCTGGTCCAAGCGGCACGAAGATGCAGTTACAAAGTAATCGGCATATAAAATGTGTAGGACACCAATAAATTCCCAAGTGAATTCAAAGAATCGCATAATGGTCCGTGTATATAGAAATGGTGACCTCGTCTAAAAAGGAGACTCGTCCGCAGATCGTAATCTGGGTAGGAAGTCATCTCTCTCTCTCTCTCTCCCTCTCTTGGCTTTGAGATTCAATCTCAACGAGTTAGGTAATACTTCGTCCACTATTTATAAGCATTGTCGTGCCGTTGACTCTTTACCTTAACGATGATGTATACGTTTTTAGTAGGTTTTATATACAAAACGGTAGCTTATGCTAAACGATTTTGATTTGAATCTATGATTTAACGCCATTTGATCTTGACCTAAAATTTAAATATTGAATTCCTTTTTTTTAAATAGTTAATGAGTAAAATTGATTAGGTTCTTTAAAACAGCTGCTTAAGAGAATTGCAATATACATAACCTAAGTTAACCCCTATGGTGAGTCTACGAATGTTAATAGTTTCGCTTTTGCAGAGCCTGTAGTTGAATAAATAGCAACATGGGTTTGTTGCGTTGGAGTCGCAGCAAAAGGTAAGTACATAACGCGAATACCAACCTAACCGAGAGAGCCGATCGCCTTTCTCAGAATTAGATAAGTCCCTTTATTGGTGATCGGATCACTGCAGTAGCAGTAGTAGCAGAAACACTGGCAGGCACCATACCCAAGTTCAAGGTTGGCTGGTTAAAAATAAACCTGATGTACACAACCGAGTTGTTGCTCTGCTACTTTCTTATTGCTTCGCCGCAAGTAGCTTCACCGAATATTTACACTGACCAATACACAATCATTCTCAACATCCGGAAACATTGATTCAAAGTGTTATATCACTACATCAGTTGTTTATTTCTTTTTCCAGTACCCTTTTTCATCTTTTATTTTTTTTTATTTCAAAAATCAAAAAAATTTGCAAATGTAATCACTATTTTTGACAAATATTAATAATATATTATTAATATTATTAATTATTTCCTATATAATATGGAGAATTATAATTAAAATTTAGAAAGAACAAGTATTTGTACAACGTTATAACGGTTTTACAACTATGGATACTTACCTTCTCTTTGGTCCAGCATAAATTTACCTAATCACTCTTTAACCGTCTAATGTTCTTATATATTGTTGGAGATGTTATTTTTGCCTACGGTTCTTTTTGGCGTTTATGATGGTACACCCAAAAAAAAATTGTCCTGTTATAATGGAGATCTAGAAAATTTGAATTAAAAGTCAACAAAAAAAATCGTTCGCTAAATTTAATTGTAAAAATACTGTTCTTATATTAAATATGGCAAATATTTATTTTTGGTAAAAATTTCAGTTGATTCTTTACGAAAATTAAAAATTCTTTAAAATGGAAAAAAATTTTCTTAGGTGAAAATCTGAGCTAATTTTTTTTATGAAACTTGAAATATTTTAATTTACAATAAAAATTTTCATGGGTGAAAATCACAGCTAATTTTCTTTATGAAATTTAAAATATTTTAATTTCTAATAAAAATTTTCTTGGGTGAAAATCTGAGCTAATAATAAGGATATTAAATAATTGTTAAAAATTAGAAATTAATTCTTTATGAAACTAAAAAATTATTAAAAATTATACAACGAAAATTATTAGAAAATGTAAATTAATTTTTTTAATGAAGCTTAATTTTTTTTTAATTGATAATAAAAATGTTCATAGGTCTGAGCTAATATTAAAGGAATTAAAAAATGGTTAAAAATTAATTTATTATGAACCTAAAAACTTATTAAAGATTAATTCTTTATGAAACTTAATATTGAATCTTTTGAATTTTGTGCTGTAGTTTGGAAATTCGATTGTTGTAATAAATAAACCATTTTTTTATAATCCTTTTGGAATTAATATGTTCGGCATGATGCGGTTTTAGCATTATAAAATTAACATTGGTTCTTTATGAAATTTTTTCAAATGGTCAAAAAGTTTTCTTGGGTGAAAATCTGAGCTAATATTAATGAAATTGAAAAATTATTAAAAAACTAAAAATTAATCTAAAAAATTATTAATACTTAACTTTTTATGAAACTTAAAGTTTCTTTAATTGAAAAAAAAATTTCTTCAGTAAAAATCTGAGCTAATATTAATACAATGAAAAAAGTGTTAAAAAATAATAATTAATTCTTTATGAAATTCAAATTTATTTAATATGATTAAAAAAGATTTCTTGGATGAAAATCTAAGCTAATATTAATTAAGGGTTCTTTTTTTCTGTAGTTTGGAAATTCGATTGTGTTAATAAAAATAACCTTTTTTTTAATCCCTTTGGAATTTATGTGTTAAAAAAAACAAAAACTAATTTCTAACAATTCACAAAAAAAATGTCTATATAAAAATTACTTAAATTCAAAATTAAAAACAATTCATTTTTATAATGAAGGATGAACTTTATTGCAAGTCGTTACATAGTGTGAGCATCAAACGACTGGTATATTAATGAAACTAATTTTTAGGCGAGATATCGGCATTAATTTAACAAATTACAGTGTCAAAAAAAAATGGAAAAAAAATATTAGACCTTCTTTTATAGAAAATTATTTCAAAAACATCACGAATAAAAATAGGTTGCAATTTTTTTTTTCATTTTCTCACCATTATTAAAATCTCTTCCCCTTATTATTTAATAACTCTTCATTTTTTCTAGATATGTTTTCATAAATTTCTTCCAGATTTTAGAATTTTTTTTTCTTTTATTTCATAACTACTAATTTCTGTTGAAAAATCACATTCGAAAAATTAAGGCAGAAAAAATTAATTCTAAAGCGTTAAGTACTGATTACAGGATAAAACGCAATATTATTAAATATTTATTATCTTGAATGAATTATTGATGTGAGGAAATTATGTACAAATACAAAATTTCCGGAATGTTGTGTGAAACATTTAAATTGAATTTAATTTATATGTCAACGTTTTTTTTTGTTATACATATTATACACTTTTGTGAGAATATAATTAATATTTTTTTTGAGAGAGAGGGATTAAAAAAGTGCCAACGAAAATTGGTTAAAATTTTTTGAGAAAAGCGACATTGTTTCATTTTTCAAGACGCGTTAATACACTGAATTTTTATTAAAATACCAACTATAATTTTTGCCTAATATAAAGTTCTAAATTGTGTGTTGATTTCATTTTTCTTTGTGAATCAGAAATATCGTGATTAATTAATTTTTTTTTCTAATGCAGTCCGCTTTTTTTTTTAATTCTAGGGACAGTGCACATATTGTAAGTGTAAGAAAAATACAAAGTGTATCATATGATCGCATTTAAGGGCTTATTTTCTACGCTTATATAGTGTATCTGTTAATTTCATTGACGCGCATCGATAATTACAATTTTTACTCTCAATCACGATTATCGTTACTTTTCACGATTTTAAAATTGATTGCAACATCTCTTCACGGTTAGTTAAAAACCATTCAGGAGTCTGTACAAAAATTCGAATTACATCAATCTACACAAAAGAAAAAAAAATAAAAAATCATGCACTCGACGATAAATAAGAAATTTTCCATCCAATTTGTCAAAATTTTATTTGCTTTACTTTAAAAAAATTGATATAACGAAAAAAAAATATCTAGAAAAAAACACTATTTTTTCTAATATGAAAACATTTGTATATATATATATATTTTTTTACAACAGAGTTAAAAAGAAATACGTTTTTACTATTTATCAGTGAACTTTTTTTTATTATTATTATTTCTAAGGATAATAAACTAGAACGATTCGAACACTTGAAGGGAGGGGGGGGTGTTAAAATTAATGCTTCTAAAACAAAAAAAACTTATCGATAAAGTATAATTAAAATGCTAATTAATTTCTAGCAAAAAAAAATAATCTTTCGATTTTTAAATATAGAGCGATTTTCGATCGATTTCGCTGCTTTAAAAAAATATATAATAAGAATTTAAAACAACTAACATTCTCTTTTTTTCCCCCGACAAAAAAAGAAATAGTGTTATCATTTTTTTTTCGACTGCTATCTCAAAAAAAGAAAAAATATTACAAAATCATCATTACAAACACGATTAAAGAATATACAATAATATGACCAAAATGGTCATTTTAACTATATAAAAACGACTCAAGAATCTTGATACATGAAATTCGATCTATATCAAATACCAAAACCCTTCAAAAAACTGTACAAACATGATTCAATCAAGATTCTCCTTTTTTTCCAGCCTCTACTTATTTTTTTTAAGATTTTTATTTCAATCTCGAAATTTATTTTCTTTCTTCTTTTATCATGGAAAACACGTACTATCAGTCAGACATTATAAATAGTGTGACATTTTTTTTTTAAGGCGACACGCGAATCGATCGCTTTCAACCTTTTTTTCTTATCTTTCATTCATCATTTCTAAGTTTCCTACCGCATTGACACGAGGGGATTTTAATTGTTTTCTTATTTTCTTGTGGCGGGGAAAATACCATTTTTTTTTGTTGTTGTCGTTTTTTTTCTTTATTTGTTATTATTATTATTTTTTTTGTTGTTTCTCGCTGGAAGAATTTTTTTTAAAAAAAAGAAACCCCGTTCATTCGGTTTTTGAAAAAAACAATTGAACGTGATCAGCGATCAAGAAGGATGTGCTTGACGAAAAATATGATGATTTTAAATTCAATGTGTTTTTTTTAGAAAATTCAACCTAAACCCGCCCATTGGACGAAATCAGGAACCTCTCTTACTGGCATGTCTCTTGCTAAAGCTTTTACCCTTAAATTTCTGTCTTCAGTCAATAGAACAACATCCCTTCTCAATCTTCTTGGTTGACCCTCACCTGCAAAAAAAAAATTCCATCCCATCTGAACTATTTTTTTTTTTTTTTATGAAACTTTGAAATTTCTTTAAATGAACAAATGAAACTTCTTGGGTGAAAATCTGAGCTGATATTAATAAAATGAAAAAATAATAATTAATTCCTTATGAAACTTAATTTTTTTTAAACGATCATAAAAGATATTATTGATGAAAATCTGAGCTAATTTTTTTTCTAATAAAAATAAATATTTTTCAAAATTATTAGAAAAGTTTTCTTTCATAAAAATCTGAGGTAATATTAATGAAACTAAAAAATTATGTAAAAATTAATTATTTATTAAACCAAAAAAGTTTTTTTTGGATGAAAATCTGGGCTAATATTAGTAATACTAAAAAAATATTAAAAATTAATTCTTTATAAAATTAAAATTTTTTTAAGTTATCGAAAAAGTTTTCATGGCTGACAATCTGAGCCAATTTTTTTATGAAACATGAAATTTTTCTCATTGATAATAAAATTTTTTTTGATGAGTGCAAATCTGAGATAATATTAACGATATCAAAAAATATTTAAAAATTATAAATTAATTCTTTATAAAACTAAAAAAATTATAAAAAAATTAATTCTTTACGAAACTTATTATTTCTTTAAATTATCAAAAAGATTTCTTAGATGAATATCTGAGCAAATATTAATTAAGGGTTTTTTCTTTTGATTTTTTTTAGTGTTGTTTAGAAATTCGATTGTGTTAATAAAAAAATACTTTTTTAACCCATTTAAGATTAATTTTTTCCGCATAATACGGATTTAGCTTTATAAAATCAACATTGGTTCTTTATGAAATTTTCATATTTTTTTATATGATCAAAAAAATTTCTTGAGTGAAAATCTAAGCTATTATTAACCAAAGGAGAAAATTATTGAAAAATAATAATTAATTCTTTATGAAACTTAACATTTCTTTAAATTAACAAAAAGATTCTGTTGTGTAAAAATCTGAGCTAATATTAAAGATAAAAAATTTATTTAAATGATCATAAAAGTTTTCTTGGGTCAAAATCTAAGCTAATTTTCTTTAATGAAACTTTTTTCAAATCATCATAAAAGTTTTCTTAGGTTAAAAATCTGAGCAAATATAAACGAAACTAAAAAATTATAAAAAAAAATTAATTCTTTACGAAATCAAAAAGGTTTCTTGTGTGAAAATCTGAGCTAATTTTTTTTTTTTAATGAAACTCAAAATTTCTCTAAATGATCAATAAAAGTTTTCTTGGGGGAAAATCTATGCTAACACTTATTAAAACGAAAAAAATTGTTCAAATACAATAATAAATAAATTTAGAATTTTTGTATAACAAATAAATAATATTAAATATTTTAATTTTTATACCTGACGGGATTTGATCTTTAGAATTTGTCCTGCAGAGACTCAGGCACGTTGCCAGTATACGATCATCATTTCTGGTTAAGCCATCCTGTAACAATCAACGTTAAAAAAATACATAAATATCAAGTTTCGTAGTTCATCAACTCTCCAATACTTCTCTTTCACCCGAGGCGAGGGTAGTTGATTTTTTTCCCCTTTTTGGACAAAAAAAAAAAAATTCTACATGAAGCTTGTTAAATGTAACAACCTTCGTGAAATAAATACTCCTACAATATTGGCATCGATATTGCCATGGTATATAATCACTACAGAAGTATATAAGGGGAATAAATTCGAATACCTATTTCGCGTGGGGGAAAAAAAAGAAAGATCTGCTCAAGAAAACAACAAAAAAAAGAAGACGAAGAAGAAGAAGAAAGATCATCTAGAAAAGAAGACGAAACATCTTTGAAAAAGGAAAATAAAAAAAAATCTTAGAGGGACTGTGAGATGGGATCTTTCACTCATTGGTGCGAGAAGAAAAGTTTAACGAGCGCCAGTCGTTATCGAGGATTTCTTAAGATCTGAGTTCCTGTTGCGATCGTATCCAACTTGAGTATCGAGATTCTTGCTAAGCAGATAGCAAACGATAGCACAAGGTAAATGCATGTCCATCAGAATTTAATGTTCAGAGAAAATTTATTTCTCCAAAAATTACATTCTCCACGTTTTTGTTTTCTTTTTTTTGTGCGTGAAAAGAAAACAAAATTTAAACATACTAAATTTATGACACACGAAAAATTTAACACATTTATATTTTGGTCATTTTTTTTGCAGTATTGGTTAAAAATTAATTCTTTATGAAACTAAAAAATTATTAACAATTAACTTTTTATAAAACTTAAAATATTTTTAAATTATAAAAAAGATTTCTTGGAAGAGAATCTGAGCTAATTTTTTATGAAACATAAAAAATTTTTTAACTTTATAATAAAAAATTTCTAGGGGTAAAAATTAGAGCTTATATTAAAGACCTAAAGTTTCTTAAAATAATCAAAAAAAAATTTTTGGGTGAAAATCTGAGCTAACATTAATAAAACAAAAAATATAAATAAAAAAATAGGTATTAATTAATTTTTCATTCAACTTAATATTTTTTAAAAGATCAAAAAGTTTTCTTGGGTGAAAATCTGAGCTAATATTAATGTAGTGAAAAACTAGTTAAAAATAAAAAATTAATTCTTTATGAAACTAAAAAATTAATAACAATTTACTGTTTTTAAAACATGAAATATTTTTAAATAAACAAAAAAGATTTCTTGCGTGAAAATCTAAACTAATACTTTATGAAAATTGAAATTTTTTTTTAAATTTATAATAAAAATTTTTTTGAGTGAAAATTTGATAGATAATATTAAAGACCCCAAATTCCTTGAAATAATTAAAAAGATTTTCTGGGTGAAAATATATGCTAATATTAACAAAACGAAAAAATTTGTCCAAAAATTAAATAAGTGAATATAGCAAAAAATTGTGCTCTGATAGTTTGGAAATTCGATTGTGTTAATAAAAACACTCTTTTTTTAATCCATTTATGATTTATTTGTTCCGCATAATACGGATTTTGCTTTATAAAATCAACATTGGTTCTTCATGAATTTAGATTTTCTTTAAATGATCAAAAAATTTTCTTGAGTGAAAATCTGTGCTAATATTAAAGAAACAAAAAAATTATAAATTAATTCTTTATGACGCTTGTAACTTTTTAAAATTTCAATAAAATCTTTCTTGTATAAAAATCTAAATAGATTTTTGAAAAAATTAATGGGTTGTTTATTTAGAATTTTGAAAAAATTTGTAATTTTATTGGTCTTACCTGAGATACATCCTCCTCGACGGTGAAAGTACTCGATGATAAAACGGTGCCTCGTGTTGTCAAGCATCGAATTGCAGGATTTCGACTCCTGGCAAAGGCAAGTGCAGCTTTTGCATTTTCAGCAACTCTCGCCACGTGTTCAGGATTTAATGCCGCTCGTGATGCTGGTTGTGTGTCCCTTGTTCCTGCTCCTCTCGCAAGTCCTTCCAATTCATTCAACACTGAAATTACAAAAAAAAGAAAAAAAAATATAATTTTACTTTTATAATTAATATATTTTTAATAATTTTTTTTTTTATATATATTTTCTGTTACCATTTATTTTGTAGTGCAAAATATATAATAATCTTCAAATCAAAAAAAAAAACGCCGTAAATTCAAAAAAACATTTTTCATTTCGATATATTTTTTTCCACTTTTTTGCATTACGATGAAATCATATGTAAAAAAAATCATTCAATACGATTGCTTACTCGTTGGAAAATACTTTCCAATGGGTTTCACAATTTGCCAAGATGTTTTCCTCTCTCTCTATCTCTCTCTTTCTGCGACTATTTTTCGTCGATGCGAATCCGAATCGATCAATTGAATTTCAAGTGGGGGAAAAAGAGGTCTGAGAAGTGGTTTGGGAAATAGTCTCGTCTCTCCAGACCTCTTACCAAGGACCAGGATTTATTATGGACGTAGTGTAGTGCTTGTCTGCAGTCCTTGAAAATAGCTTTTCGTAAATCAAGATTATTTTTCATCTCCACAAAAAGCGATCCTCAAAAAAAAAGCTTTATTCCACTTATAAAAAACAAAACATAAAATCAATTTTTTTACATAAAAAAAAATTCTTAGGTGAAAATCTGAGCTAGTATTAATAACAAAAAAAAATTATTAAATTTTAATTCCTTTGAATCATCAAAAAGATTTTTTAGATGAAAATCCGAGCTTTTATTAAAAAAAACATAAAATCAATTTTTTCTTCATTTTCGATTACAACTATCATCAACTTATTGTCTAAAAAAATTTAATTCCTTTCAGTTAATTATTCAACGATTTATTATATATGGAAATTACACTGTAAGATCTAGACCCTTGTCTCTCGTGTCGAAAAACGAAAGTATTTCTTCGTAGCAATATCAGCCTTTTGACCTCTTAGCGGCTCGACTAACCTGACCCAGCAACGGTGAGTTCACAGTTAATTTTCTCACGACTGGCAAAAACAGATGCATCAAAGAGTGATGCTGTATAATCAGTTTGCTTATATAGTCAAATTATAAAAATCAAAAAATAAATTCCAAAAAAAATAAGGAAAACAAAAAAAAATTAGAAAAAACAAATTTTTCAATATATTTTTTTAACCAAAGGTAAAAATAATTTTTTTCTCCCATATGGGACGATCCAAATTTAAGACTTTATATATTGTGGGCGGCACCATTGAGAATTGAGCATCAAGTAATTCACTGCTCGGGGGGCTCATCTTTAAGAGAGGAAACACCCCAGAAAATAAACGAGATACTTATCGTTAGAAAAAAAAATTTTTGCAAAACTTTTTCGCCCGTGAATAATTGCTCATGTTAATGTCCAGAGAGAGAGAAAGATTTTTATTTTCAGCAACAAGATTTTAAGCAACTATAATTACAGGCTCTTGTCTTAATTTACTTTTTTTTTGTTTCCAAGTCAATTACTGTTTCAAAATTAAGATATTTTTAATACTTAAAAAAAAAATTGCAGAAAAAAAATAAGAAAAAAATTTCCTTTTTGCCTTGTGTAATGATAAAACATTTTTTTGGGGTAAAAATTTGAGATGAGTTTTTTATGAAACTCGAAATCTCATTAAATGATTCAATAAATTTTTTTTTGTGAAAATCTAAGCTGCGACAATTTGTAAATTCGATTGTGTTAATAAAAAAAATCTTTTTTAATCCTTTTTTGGATTAATTTGTTCGGCATGATACGGATTTAGCTTTATAAAATCAACATTGGTCCATTATGAAACTTGAAATTTTTTCAAATGATAAAAAAATTTTCTTGGGTGAAAATCTGAGCTAAAATTTAATGAAACTAAAAATTAATTCTTTATGAAACTAAAAAAGTTTTCTTGGGTGAAAATCTGAGCTAAAAATTAATTCTTTATGAAACTAAAAAAGTTTTCTTGGGTGAAAATCTGAGCTAATATTAACGAAACAAAAATTTTGTTTAAATCATAAAATCGTAGACAAAATTAACTGTAAAAATAAATTTTGCAAATCTAAAAAAAATCCCAACCAAGTTCAATGACCACATAATTTATATAAAAAAAAATGATAATGATGAAAATTTTTCCGTTTTCTTTTTACTTTTAATGCTTCATTCGTACTTCAGATCATCTTGAGATTGATAAGATAAGATTTCGGAAAAGAAGAAGAAAATACATTTCGCACTTCGTGCTTCGGCTTCCCATTTTAGGAGTCCCAACTAATCTCTCGGATCTTGGAATTCGTAGAATTCTTTTCATTGGTCAGATACTTGATTTATTGGTCGATTGGCTTTTGATTTCGCTTGAGAATCTGACCCTGCGTGTTCTTATCTACGACACAAGTCGCAGACTTCGCGGAGGATGAACGATATTGAAAATAAAATAAAAAAGCACCGAGAAAATTGATTCTTCTCATCCCAAAGGGTAAATATACTAAAAAAAAATCTAATTTAGAAAGAAAGAATAAAAAATTATTGATGAAAAATTTTTCTGATCTATTAAGTAATTGTTTGATCAATCAGTAAAAATAAAAATGACTAATCATTATTTAAAAAGGAACCTTTCTCCGAGGTCGACAATGTCTTAGGTCACCACTTGAAAAATTCTTTCTTTACAAAAATTTATTTTCGAGAATTCATCTTGAATTAAAATATGCCTCATCATGAGCCTTCGAGGCTAAATTTCGCCAAAGCTGATAATTACCTGACAGTGATTGATGATTCTCCTCAATTTTTTTAAAACAATTTTGTACCGATTTAAACATCCTTTAATTTCTGATTCATCATAATTTTATCAACCTTGTCTTCTTTAAAAAAAAAAATAATAATAATTTTTTTTTAAACTTTTTTCCCAGTAAATTTCATTTGGAATTGAAATACAAAGAACAAATAAATCCTATAATTTATTTCTATAATTACTTTTAATTAAGATATTTTGAATGTAAAATCTCACCAAGCACTTAAGAATTTAAAAAAAAATTTTCAAAACTGTCATCAAAAAATGTAAAAATTGCAAGTACTTGGTCGATTATAGGCAAAAAAAAAAGATTTTAAAATAATTGTTAAAAAATCTGGAAGATGAGATCTTCAAAGAAAGAGAAAGAAAATGTTTTTTACTCATTGAGTTAATGTATTTAATTACCAATGCACTTACCAACGAGTGGAACCATCAGTGTGTAAATCGGTTGAGCACCGGAAACGGCCTTGGCGATGCTCTGCAGCTGAGGCAAATAATCGATGAAGCAATTCGTGTCTGGGACTAGTTGCCTCGGTCTCACTTCAATCTCCACAGATACTAAAGATTTACTCAAGATCGCCTGTAAACAAAGAAAGATAAAATGTCAATTTCTTCCGACAATTGTACAAGACGATTTTTTTCCTCTCCTCATTTCTTTTTTGTGTTTTTTTGCAGAAAAGAAACATTTTCAATTTCTTTAAACACAAAAAAATATCAACTCTTAAGAGAAAAAAAACCTATTTTCATGTATATAGAAGGATTTACAGAATATTTGCGGAAGGAATTTCCGGATTTTTTTTCCCGCAAATACTTGTAAGTAACTTTCTCGAATGAAAATCGAAAATCACTTCCGGAAATTTTCCTAAAGTTACTTGTGAGAATAAAAATATTTATTGGTGAAAATCTGAGCTAAAATTAATGATACTAAAAATTATTATTAATTACAAATTAATTTTCTATGAAACTTGGTATTTCTTTGAATGTTAAAAAAAATTCCTGGGTAAAAATCTGACATAATATTAATGAAACGAAAAAGTTATAAAAAATAAAGATGAATTGTTTATAAAACTTAAAATTATTTTTAAACAATTATAAAAGTTATTTTGGATGAAAATTTCAGCTATTATTAATGATGCAAAGAAAATTTTATAATTTACAAATTAAGTTTTTATAAAACTAGATATTTTTTTAAATGATTAAAAAAAATTTCTTGGGTGAAAATCTGAGCTAATACTTTTTAAGAAATTTAAAATTTCTTTAATGAAAAAAAAATTCATGGGTGAAAATCTGAGCTAATATTAATAAAACGAAAAAAAATTAAATAAGTGAATATTATAAAAATTTGTGTTCTGATAGTTTGTAAATTCGATTGTGTTAATAAAAAAAATTTTTTTTATTCCATTTAAAATTAATTTGTTCGGCGTGATACGGATTTAGCTTTATAAAATGAACATTGGTTTTTTTATGAAATTTTCATATTTTTTCAAATAATCAAAAAATTTTTATAGGTGAAAATCTAAATTAAAATTAATGAAACTAAAAATTAATTCTTTATGTAACCAAAAAAATTTTCTTTGATGAAAATCTGAGCAAATATTAATGAAACGAAAAAAATTATTAAAAATTTAATTCTTTATGAATTTTGATATTTCTTTAGATTTTTTTCCAGAAATACTAGTAATTAACTACTCTGGAAAAAATTTCGAAACTAGTTCCGGAAAATTTTCTAAAGTCACGTACGCATTTTTTTAATACTTCCACGTGGGTTTTGTAAAAATTATATTTTTTTAACAAAGAAACTAGAAAGGTATAAATAAAAAATTTTTTCATTAAAAAGAAGTCAATAATTGTAATTTTAAACCACTAATTAGTTGCTAAAATTAAATTGACAAGATTTACAGTTTAGAAATTAGCAATTTTGATTAAAATTAGTGACAATTTTTTTTGTGTCGAGTTGAACTAAAATGGAAGCTAGCAAATAATTAATGCTCCTGCGCCTTCCCTTGCCCCCCCACCCCCGTTTTAAGATAGTGAATCGATCAAGAGGAATAATAGGAATACCAAGTAGGTATTCTCTCTCTCTCTATCTATCTTTTTCTCTCTCGTAGCATTGATGATCGTAATGAGCCTCTAATGTTTGTTCGATCGTTGCACGACAATCGATAGGAAACACGTTGTCGTATGTGCCATTGTCAATCGAGATAACACTATCGAAACAATGTCCCGACCCTAACTGTAATGAAACAAGATTTAAACCCAAACATATGTGATAGAAAAAAAAACAAAATTTACGAAGCCACTACTCAAAAAAATCGGAATTTCGAATCAGTAATTTTCATTCAAAATCAAAATATTAAAAAAAAATTTCTGCAATGTAAAATTTAGTGCAAAAAAATTATTTCGCAACAAATTCCAGATTATTTCAAAATTGTTTTTTAATTAACAATTTTAATTGTGAAAAAAAATTTCTTAGGTGAAAATCTGAGCTAATTTGGTAAATTCTAAAGATAGTTAATACAATTGAAAATAGGAACAATCGAAAATAGATTTAAAAAGCTTTTAGGAAATTTTAAAATATTTAAAGAATCTCGATAATTTAGGTTATGGGAGTAAAAGATTTTCAAAGGAGTGTGAGAGAGAATTTTTTTTGTTAAACTATCTTCAGTCTATTTGGACATAAAAAAAATAATAATTCAGGTTAAAAAACTCGTTCTCGTGTTTGTGCGAGTCACGTCTTTATGAATTTTCTAATAGCTCTATATATTTTAAGTACAGTTTCTTTAACAAGACTATAATTTCGTCAAACAAAATTACGTATATGTGTGTACATATATTGAAAAAAATCAAAGCCAAGTAGGTTAAGGAGGTTTAGCTTAGGTTCAAAAAAAAAAATGAAACCATCAAACATGACAGGTTGTGTCTTGTAAAAGAAGCGCTTGTCATTAAAAGTACCCATTACAATATGATTTATTAAATAAATTATATTTGTAGTAACTAATAGCTTGAAATTTATTATCAATAACATGGCATTAAATAAGAGAAAATAAAATTAAAATAAAAAATAAAATTAAATAAATTAAAATAAAAATTAAAAAAAAATTAAAATAAAAAATTTTTAAAAAAAGTTGCAATTAGTCAAGAAAGCACCGTTGCAGCAAAACGCAACTATCAAAATGCCATACATTAATTATTCTCGCCTTTCTTTCTCTCTTTCTCTTATTCTTTCTTTTCATTATTGTTCTGCCTTCGAGCACTCAGTACTTGGTGAGAGAACCCACATTTGAATCATTTATCCTGACTTGGACGCCCACGAATCTTAAGAATGTTCTCATATTATGCACTGGACACTTGTTCAAATAGTCGCAACTTTTTGACTTCAATCATATTATATTTAAATTCCTCCCTCAAGTGACTTTTGTGTTCGATTATTGTTCAGTAAATTTTACTATAGCGAAAAAAAAATTAACCATTTCTTTCGGTATAAATTCTGAAGGATCAATTTTTTTTAACGTCAACGACGTTAGAATTTTGTTTTCTCCAAATAATTCTTTATGACACTTAAAATATCTAACTTTAAATTTTGAAAAAATAATTCTTGGGTGAATATATCTTAGCTAGAGAAACGTAAAAATTATTAAAAATTAATTTTTTATGAAATTTTGTTTAAATAATTATAAAAGTTTTCTTGGGTGAAAATCTGAGCTAATATATTAATGAAACGAACGAAAATTTCTTAAAAATTAATTAAGTGAATATTAACAAAAATTTGTACTGTGATAGTTCGGAAATTCGATTGTGTTAATAAAAAAATTCTTTTTTAATCCATTTAGGATAAATTTCTTCGGCATGATACGGATTTAGCTTTATAAAATCAACATTGGTTCTTTATGGAACTTGAAATTTTTTTTAAATAATGAAAAATATTTCTTTGGATGAAAATCTGAATTAATACTTTTTATGAAATTTAAAAATTAATAATAAAAATTTTCATGAGGTAATATCTAAACTAATATTGAAATGAAACTAATTAAAACTAAAAAATTAATTCTTTATGAAACCAAGGGTAAAAATCTGAGCTAATTTTAATGAAACTGAAAAATAATTAAAAATTAATTCTTTATGCAAACAAAAAAATTTCTTGGGTAAAAATCTGAGCTAATATTAAAAAAACTAAAAAAATTTTGTTTAGAAATTAAATAATTAAATATAACAAAAATTTGCGCTGTGATAGTTTAAAATTTCGATTGTGTTAATAAAAAAATTCTTTTTTAATCCATTTAGGATAAATTTCTTCGGCATGATACGAATTTAGCTTTATAAAATCAACATTGGTTCATTATGAAACTTGAAATTATTTTTAAATGATAAAACAATTTTCATGGGTGAAAATCTGAGCTAATATTAATGAAACTAAAAATTATATAAAAGTAAAAATTAATTCTTTATGAAACTTGATATTTATTTAAATAATTAAAAAGTTTTCTCGAGTAAAAATCTAAGCTAATATTTTCCATCTAATATTAAAAAATATCTTTTATTAAAAATCCAAACTACTATTAATCAGAGACGTATTAATAATGCCTCATTAAATTTTTTATTTAATAGAATTTCATTAGATATATTTTTCTAGCCGAAAAATAATAATAATAATAAATAGTTTGAATTTTCTTATACATATTCCATTGTTTTTCTGCAATAATTCGTTTGGCAATAATAATTGTCACAACAGGAATCTAAATTGAAACAGTAATTATACTTGTTTCCATAATTTTGAGTTCCAATCTCTCTCACTCTCTCTCTCTCTCTCTCACCCTCTCTGAAACCCAATGGATTTAGTCACACAAGGAATAATTTATTAGGTATTTGGTAATCGCTGAGATTCGAGGTTGGCTCTTTGAATACAAATTGTGGACGGTGGCGCGAGTCTCATGTAAAATGGATGGATTAAAAGGGGAACTCCCTACATTATTGGATATGGCTGCGAATTTGCGTCAAAATTGAATCGTTACTAATCCACAAGATTTAATGTTACAATTATTAATGTTATATTTTCCGCTTCTTGTCACGCGAACCAAAATATTTTCTATCAGAAAATAAAAAAATAATAGTAATAACAATAATAGTAATACTAATACTAATACTAATAATAATAATAGTAATAATAGTAACAATACTAGTAATAATAATAACAATAATAGTAATAATAATAATAATTTTTGAGAGGAGGAGGTAAAGTTTTTCAAACTTTTGAAGATGGAAAATTTGTTTTTACAATATTAATCATGAATAATATTGAATTAATTTCTTTTTTTCGTTTAAAATTTAAATTTTGATATTCATAAAAGGAGAACGCATTTATTGGCGAGTCCCTCAACCGACGATGCTTTTTTTTATGGGCAGAAATATTACGAGCTAGAGGCCTCATGGGAATCGTGAGCGAGACCAGTATATATAGTTTTACCCTCTTGCATCATTCCAGCAGGAAAAAAAAACCTCCCGAGATAACATTCTACCCCTTGATGTGTGTGTGGGACAAGGGGAATTTCAACTCTGTGCCGGATGAACATAGAGCTCAGTGTGCTGTGTGAATTTTAATACCCCTCTCTCTCTATCTCTTTCTCTCTAACACTCACTTTCCAAGAGCTACTGAAATCTTTCATTTCAAGAACATTCACACGGCTACTTATATCAACATAGGGCATTTTTTTTCTATGGTCAACATTTTTTATTGATTTCCCATTTACAGTATCTCCCTCTTCTATATAAAAGACTTGACAGTACTTTAATATTTCTTGACCATGTCTCTTAAATTGCAAAGACGTTCATTGCATCACTCTCAAAAAGAAGGTACTAAAACAGAAACCGATTTTAGGTATTAAAATAGAATCAAATAACAATTTAGTACCTAATGTCGGTATTAAATTAATACCTTTCGTTTTACAGTGATAAATGAGAATGTAAAAATCAAGTTTTATGATTTAAAAATTGTTTTATAATTTTGAAAATAAAAATTCCCTCGATTTCCGATATATATATAAAATTTCTCGAGGGCATTTATTAAGATCGAAACAATCAAGATGTATGATCGATAATTTAGAGGAATATTGAGATGAGGAAATTGATTCGGCCTCTCCTGGTGGATTTTATAGTTTATCCACCGAAGAGATAAAGGGATGGGGACAAAAAAAAGTGCTTGATGGAGTTTTATAATGGAGATCTGTTGGATGTCCTTGTCACGATCGCCTCGAGTTTATTAAACAGATATAAAGGAATAATAGTTTAGCCTAGAATCATTGGAATGATATAGAACAAAAAAAAATTTATTGCATACTGTTTAGATCAACAGATTTTGAGCTACATTCAAAATTCTAAGATAGATTTTTGCTTGGCATAAATTTTTTCTTTAAAAAAAGTTTGAAGTTATTTATACAGATATAGATTGTTATATAGTAAAGCATGTCAGTATTGAATGCTAATTTATGAATTACGAATCAGGGTAGACGAAGGAATCATTAGGGTTGGGAAAAAAATAGTTGGAAAAGTAACTCTCTCTCTCTCTCTTTTTTTCTGCGAAAGCTGTCATGGTCAAAAAGGATATTCCCTCTAAGTAGTTTGATTGACTTATTGGCATTTTATTTTAGCCGAGGGAAAAAGAAGAAAAATTCTTCTAGCGAGGCAGGAATTGTAGTGTAGCAAATTGGAATCTTGCGAGAGAAGAGGCTGAAGAGACTAAAGAAGAAGAAGAAGAAGGAAAAGAAGAACAAGAAGAGGGTCGAGGGAGCAATGAGTAGAGCAGAATTAAGTGGAAGATGGCAGAAAGCAGGAGAAACGAGGATCGGTTGTTGGAAAAGTGGGTACTCACTCGTAACTCCCGGCCTGATTTTATTACGGGTTTCTCGAGACTCACTTCTCTCTCTCTCTCTCTCTTTCTTAGTCTCTCGCGTAGAATTAGCGTGCCTGCACGAGCCGACTACACGACGATATATTAAGGGTAATCGCATTCATAAATGCAACAGTTGCGCTACAACGATCGGTCCGCGTGTAAATGCTGCTCGCAAATCAGATCGCTGGGCCCGGCTCTTGGGCCACAACATCATAAAATACACCCACGTGATGGAGGGACGCATAAATAATGCCTAAAATTAATTTATTCAAATTTTTATTTCAATTTAATTTGATTAGATATAGAATTTTTTGAGATTTTTTTCTGTAAAACTTAAAAATTACTTTAAATATTCATAAAAAATATTCTTTGGTGAAAATCTGAGCTAATCTTTACTTAAAAAAAAAATATTAAAAAAAAATTCATTATCAAACTTAATAATTATTTAAATGATCAAAAAACTTCTTGGGTGATAATCTGAGCTAATACTTTTAATGCGACATTTCTTTAATTGATAATAAAAAGGTTCTTGGGTGAAAATCTGAGCTAATATTAATAAAAGAAAAAAAATTGTTCCAGAAATTAAGTAAGGGAATATATAATAAAAATTTTTGCTGTGATAATTTGGAAATTCGATTGTGTTAATAAAAATAATCTTTTTTAATCCATTTAAAATTAATTTGTTCGGCGTGATACGGATTTAGCTTTATAAAATCAACATTGGTTCTTCATGAAATTTGATTTTTTTTGAAATGATCAAAAAAATTTTTTTTGGGTGAAAATCTAAGCTAATATTAATGAAACGAAAAAATTATTAAAAATTAATTCTTCAGGAAACTTGATATTTCTTTAATAAATAAATAATTATTAAATGTTTAAAAAGATTTCTTTGGTAAAAATCTGAGCTAATAGTTTTTATAAAATTTATAAATTTTTTTAATTAATAATAGAAAATTTTCATTGGTGAAAATTTGATCTAATATTTATAAAGCTAAAATGAATTATTAAAAAAAAAAATTTAAGTGCAATATTTATTAATACTTTACACAAAAAAAAAGATTAATAAAACAAAAAATTATTATAAATTAATTCTTTATGATATTTAAAATTTCTTTAAATGTTTTAAAAAAAATTCCTGAGTAAAAATCTAAGTTAATATTAACAAAACGGAAAAAAATTGTTCAAAAATTAAATAAGTGAATATAGCAAAAAATTGTGCTCTGATTGTTTAGAAATTCGATTGTGTTAATAAAAATAATCTTTTTTAATCCTTTTTTGGATTAATTTGTTCGGCATGATAAAGGATCAGCTTTATAAAATCAATATTCGTTCTTTATAAAACATGAAATTTTTTTTTTAATGATCAAAAAGATTTCTTGGGTGAAAATCTGAGCTAACATTAATGCAACGAAAAAATTATTTAAAAAATTAATTCTTTATGTTTATCCTTCTTTAAATAGTCAAAAAAAATTTCTTGGATGAAAATCTGAGCTAATATATATATTAATGAACCCAAAAAAAACATATTTTCCGCAACTTAAAAATACTTTTAAAAAAAATTTGATAATACTTTTATAAAATTTGTCATTTATTTTAATTCCGTGTAAAAATAGCATTTATATAAAGCGTATCAAAGTCGAATCCTTCTATTTTTTTTAATGAAATCGTCAAGGTGAGATTTTCAAGTTAAACATTGACGGTGGCAGTGATAAGAGAATATAATTACTTAGAGGGTAATTAGACGTTGTTGGTTGGTGAGTCTCACGCAAAGAAACCTCTTTTATTATTTTATTTATATATCTATATATATATATATTTTTTATTTTTAATTTTAGCCTGCACTTGAGCAGTATTTACTGGCGGCCATAAAAGATAATCGTCCCCCTCTTTTAATTATCCCTCTTTGCTGATTGTTACAAGACGCAGAATCTTATTTCGTAGTCATTAGCGCGAAAAATAAAAGGACGGTACATGTTTAACAAACAAAACTAAAAAAAAATTGTATGGATCCTTTTTTTGTCAACTCTATACCAAGATCTTTTTTAGATTATAATAAGAGAGTTTCTGTAAGCGAAAAAACTTCTTTTTAATAATCGTCACTTTCTTTTAATTACACTGACCATTTTCTAATTAAAAAATATTTATAGTATCATAACTTTTGATTTTTTTTCCCCCAACCATAAGAGAAGATTCTCTCTCGTTTATTCGAATATTTAATTTTACGTTCGTAATTTTGTTTCACTTTCAAACAATGTTTAAAGACAAATTGTTTTTTAAAATATGAAAAAAAAATTAATTAATTATTGAAAAATTAAAAAATAATTTGCGTAGGTTAAAATTTTTAAAAAAATTTTAAAAAGTGTTTATGATTAAACCTTTTAGTTCTATGAGAAAATCGATATAGTTTACTTCCTTAAAAACAATAAAATTTTGTATAAATTTACATTTTAAATAAAAACAAAATTGCGTTAAGAAATTATGAGTGCAGTCTACAAAAAAAAACGAGACAGACAGTTCCGTCGACACGATTACATAAATAAACGTGGGATATTTTGTTTTTATTTTCTCGTTTTTTTATGTATATATATTTTTTTTTCCTAGTGACATTAATTATTTGCAGTTTGAAAACCAGGCGAAACAATGTGTGAATTCCAACTTGTTCACACAGTGACATAATTCAAACTTGTTTTTGAAAGGAAAAAAAACTGGTTGAAATTTTACGAGATGGTATAAATTCCTCAAAACAAAAATGTGTCAAAAAGAATTTTTTTTTTCTTTAAAACTGGATTAATGAATGAGAATCGTATTTAATCGTAAAAATATTCTAATTTTTTCCTTCAATTTTATTATTATCAGTAAATTTTTTGTCGTTATAAAAAAATCAGAATTTAGTTTAAAAAAATTATTAAATTAATACAAAATGAAAAAAATTATAAATTAATTTTCTATTAATAAAAATATTTTATCTATCAAAGAAAGTAATTTGTCATCAAAGAAATTAATTCGTCATTGAGTAATTTAATTTTTCATTGAAGCATAGATGAATTTTTTTTCTTTTTTTTTTTTTTGTTTTCTAATTTCCGATCTCAAGTTTATATATAATGAAACCTTGAACGTCACTGATCTGAATTGAAGAGAGTGACGATAGGATAATGTTTATATTATCTTATGAATGAAGCACTTACTTGAACTCGCTGTCGATGATGATCTTGTTTCTTCTGACGCCTCTCAAGCTCTTCCTTTCTCTCGATCAACGATCTAATCTCACTTACTGGAGTCTGTGAAGTCAGTGTGTCGCTCGAAAGAACGTCTCCGGACGAAGACAATCTTCTCAAGGTCGCGGGTGCATCTTCATCATCTTCACTGTAGCTTTCGACTAATAATTCCGAGTCGCTCTGTGATGATAAACAAAAAAAAAGAAAGAAAATTCATTTATTAATATTGAAAATTTTTTTCAGACAGTTTTTTTATTCACTACAAATTTTTTTAAAATTATTATTAATTATTTTTAGGAAATTTGAAATTTTTTTTTTAAATTAATAATACAAAAAAAATTCATAAATAAAAATCTGAGCTAATATTAACGATATTAAAAATTAATTCTTCATGAAACTAAAAAAATTATTAAAAATTAAATAACGAAAATTATTGAAAAATATAAATTAATTTTTTATTAAAACTTAAATCTATTTTAATTGATAATAAAAATGTTCATAGACGAAAATCTGAGCTAATATTAATGAAATAAAAAAAATTATTAAAAATTAATTCTTTGTGAAACTTGTTATTTCTTTAAATGATAAAAAAAAATTCTTGGGTGAAAATCTAAGCTAATATTAATAACAAAATAAATTATTAAAAATTAATTCTTTATGAAACTTAAAATTTCATCAAATGATAAAAAATATTTCTTACGTGAAAATCTTAGTTAATATTAATTTTTTTAATTTTTTTAATAATCAAAAAATTTTCTTAGGTGAAAATCTGAGGTAAAATTAATTAAAACTTTTTGTGAAATTTAAAAATTAATGATAAAAACTTTCATGACTGAATATCTGAACTAATATTAATGAAACTAAAAAATTAATTTATTATGAAAGCAAAATGTTTTTTTGGTTAAAAATCTAAGCTAATTTTAATGAAACTAAAAAAATAATTAAAAATTAATTCTTTATGAAGGCAAAAAGTTTTCTTGGGTAAAAATCTGAGCTAATATTAACAAAACGGAAAAAAATTGTTCAAAAATTAAATAAGTGAATATAGCAAAAAATTGTGCTCTGATTGTTTGGAAATTCGATTGTGTTAATAAAAATAATCTTTTTTAATCCTTTTTCGGATTAATTTGTTCTGCATGATACGGATTTAGCTTTATAAAATCAACCATATTTTCCACGACTTGAAAATACTTTTACAAAATTTAAAAATACTTTTGTAAAATTTTTTATTTATTTTCTTTCCGTGTATTTTTACTTTGTATTTTTTTTATTAGCTTTTATATAAAATGTATCAAAGTAGAATCCTTTTTTTTATAAATATCAAAAAAATAATTATTTTTTCAAATTATTTAATTTATTTATTATTTTTTTTAATTGTTTTAAATTATTTTAAATTATTACCACATAAAATCTGAATTAAAAATTCATTTTGTTTATATTTATACATAAAAAAAATTCCATTATCAGCACATAAGAAAAGTCAATAATTATTTTAAATTTTGTCTGATAATATTTATAAGATTAATTTGCAAAACAAAAATTAGATTGAATATATTTTTCAAGAAAAAAAAGGAAGAAATATTTTTTTATCGTTTAAAAAAAAATGAGAGAAAAAAGAAAAGCAATACCTGTACCGGTGGAGAACTTGGAGAACTTGCACTGGATGCTTCGACTACTGAAACGTATTCGCTGATACCCGTTTCGCTTTTCTGTAACTTTAGTACCGGCGTCTCAAGGCCGCAGAGAAATACTTGACCGAAGAAGAGAATCTTGCTTATCCTCAAACAAACCTGAACTATTTCCTAAAAATACCAAACAAAAAAAACAAAAACATTTTTTTTAATTTTCCAATTGCTTTTACAATTTTTGTAATTAATAAAAATTAACAATAATTTAATAATAATAATTATAAAAATAAAAATAATACTTCAATAATAGTAATAATAATAATACTTCAATGATAATTAATTAATAAACGATTTTCAATTAAAAATGATTTTAATTTAATAAAAATTAATTTTTTAACTTAAAAGAATATTTAAAAAAAAAATGTAAAATTAAATTTAAAAAAAATATATATTCCTCACCATATCTTCCGTTTTTTGCGTAAAGAACGAGTCCTGAGGATTAGACATAAGTGGCGTGAATCCTGCGAGTGTTGTGTCCTCCGGAAGCTTCACAAGTTCTAGATCTGAAAAAAGAAATAAAAATTTGGACAAATTTATTAGAGGCAAAAAAAAAATTAGGCGCAAGAAAGGAATTCTATTTAAAAAAAAAATTATGGTAATGTTTTTGTGCTTGTTAGGCAGAAGGTGTAATAAAAAAAAAGTGACTCAACCTTATTATATAATGCAAATCAGACGACGCTTATAACTATTAGTGCTATAAATTTTTTTTGTATATATATATATATATATATATATAAAAAGGATTAATGAGAAGTTTTGTATATATTATTAAAATTAAAACCGACATTTTGATCTCATAAAAAAATATAATACATTCGACACTATGTAAATTTACAAACCACACAATTTTCGCAAAAATATCACATAACAAAATGAGATTTCAATAATCACGTAAATAAAAATAAATTTTCTTCTCGGTATAATAAATTTTATTATTCAATTTTATTATTCCAAAAAAAACCCAGCAATAAATATTTTTAAAAATCTAATTTCATTACCTAAAAAAAATTATTAACAAAAAAAATATTTATCAAAATTTTCGTAATTTTTTTTATATTTTTATTAAAAGTAAATAAAAATTAATATTTTTATTATTTATTTTCATTTTCTTTTAATAAAAAAATATAGAATAAATAATAATAAAAATATTTATTTATTTTTATTTACTGATAATAATAAAATAAATAATAGTAAAAATATCTATTTATTTTCATTAACTGTTAATAAAAAAAAATAATAATAAAAATATAATAAAAAATTTAAAAAAATAATTTTTAAAACTCGATACAAAATAAAAATTGTATTTTCGTGAATCTAGAAAATATTTTTTTTAACAACATTGGAAAGTGGAACATTATTCAAAAAAAAAAAAAAAAAAAAAAAGTGGGTCTCTTTTTCCAGAAATGGAAGACAAATAATTTTTTTTATTTATTTTTCTTTTTATTCCCTGACAATAAATTGAAAATGTCAATTTTCAATTTACAATTGAAACAAATTTCATTTGCACAAACACCGTCTATATATTGTTATAAGTACACTCTTTAAAGTAATATCCAATTTATCTATTGTGACTCGATCGTAAAGTTCAGAGTAATAGTGAATTCAGCAACAAATTGACATTGCGGTACACGTTGCCGCATTTACCGTTAGTGTCTCAGATCCTTTCCGAAACGTAGTTTAACCACAAGAGACAAAATTCTTGTTTTATTTTTCAACTTCACTGTATGTCGACTGCTCCAAATTCCTCCTTTTTTTCTCTCATTCTTTCTTTCTTTATTTCTTTTTCTTTTTTTTTCTTTCTCTTTTTTTCAATGAAACTACATACGAGCCAATTTAAATTCTAAAATATTCGAAGACACTCTTTGAAAAAAAAACGAATCGGTAAAATATTTTTTTTATATTAAAAAGAAAAAAAAAATTGAAAATTAAAAATTTAATTAAAAATTTTTAATAATTAAAGGGTTTAATTTAATTTTCTTTTTTAAACAAATTTTCTGCATTTAATTATTTTTAAAATTCAATTTTATTTTCTATATTTAATTATTTTCTAAATTAAATTATTTTCAACATTCAGTTATTTTTAACATTTAATTATCCTCTTGATTAAATTACTTTAAAAATTCAATTATTTTCTAAATTCAGTTATTTTTAAAATTCAATTATTTTTAAATTGAATTTTTTTCTAAACTCAATTATTTTCTAAATTAAATAATTTTCTACATTCAATTATTTTGTATATTCAATTATTTTTAGAATTGAATTATTTTCTACACTCAATTATTTTCTATATTCAATTATTTTTAAAAATTTTATTATTTTCAATATTCAATTATTTTTAAAATTCAATTATTCTCTAAATTGAATTATTTTTAAAATTTAATTATATTCTAAATTCAGCTATTTTTAGAATTCAATTATTTTTAAAATTCAATTATTTTTAAAATTCAAATTATTTTTAAAATTCAATTGTATTTGAAATAAAATTATTTTTCTAATTTCAATTATTTTCTAAATTCAACTGTTTTGGAAATAAAAATATTTTTCTAAATTACATTGTTATGGAAATAAAAATATTTTTCTAAATTCAATTATTATTTTTAAGATTCAATTATTTTCTATACTCAATTATTTTTAAAATTTTTATTATTTTCAATATTCAATTATTTTAAAAATTTAATTATTCTCTAAATTGAATTATTTTTAAAATTTAATTATATTCTAAATTCAGCTATTTTTAGAATTCAATTATTTTTAAAATTCAATTTTTATTTATTTAAATTCAATTATTTTTAAAATTCAATTGTATTTGTAATAAAATTATTTTTCGAAATTCAATTATTTTCTAAATTCAACTGTTTTTAAAATTCAATTATTTTTAAAATTCAATTGTTTTGGAAATAAAAATATTTTTCTAAATTCAATTATTTTTAAGATTCAAATTATTCTCTGAATTAAATTATTTTAAAAATTCAAATTATTTTTGAATTGAATTTCTTCCTAAACTCAATTATTTTTTTAAATTAAATCGTTTTCTACCTTTAATTATTTTTAAAATTCAATTTTATTTTTTATATTCAATTATTTTCTAAATTAAATTATTTTCTATATTCAATTATTTTCAAAATTCAATTATTTTTAGAATTCAATTATGTTTTACACTCAATTATTTTCTATATTCAATTATTTTTTAAATTTAATTATTTTCAACATTCAATTATTTTTAAAATTCAATTATTCTCTAAATTGCATTATTTTTAAAATTTAATTATATTCTAAATTCAATTATTTTTAAAATTCAATTTTAAATTTATTTAAATTCAATTATTTGTAAAATTCAATTGTATTTGAATTCAATTATTTTTTACATTCAATTATTTCCTAAAATAAATTAATTTGTACCGCGATTTTCACATCGGGAAGAGCAAAATTAAATTAAAATTTTTATTTAAAATTAGAAAATTTTAAAATAATTTTTTCCTATGTGGGAAATGTAAAATAAAAATAGAAAATTAAAATTTATAAAAATAGATTTAAAAAATCGAAAAGTACAATCCAATTTATTAATTTATATAAAAAAAATTGAATTAAAAATAAATTTTTTAAAAAATTTAAGTAACTTTTACCTATAAAGTAAATGAATTGTACAATAGAAAATTAACATTAAAAGAAATTTAACTTTTAAAACATTAAAATTTTAATAAAACGTAATTTTTTAAACAATTGATATAAAAAATTTAAATTATTTAAATGATTAAATTTTTAATTTTTATTTTTTTTATGATATAATTTTTAATATTTTTTAATAATTTTTATGAATTTAATAATGAAATTATTTTTCTTTATTTAAAATTTGTTTTTTTTTTGCATGTAATTAAAAATATTGTCTTTAATTTCGAAAAAATAATATAAATATTGCTTATAAAAGTTCCTTCAAAAAATCCCTCTTTAAAAAATTCAAAAATTTATTAATTTGTATTAAAAATATTTTCTACTATTTTTTTTTTCCTTTTTTATGAATGAAAATAACTATTGAATAAAATAAACCATTTTTCTAAAGTGAGTTTAAAAATAAAATTAATTAAAAAATAAAATTTAGAGAATATTGTAGAGAATTATATTATTATTTTTTATTTTTATTTATTTATATAATTATTATTATTTTTAATATTATTATTATTATCGAGAATATTTATTAATAATATACAAAAATGAAGTTATCATATTTTTCAAAAAAGAAAAAAAAAAAAAAAGAAAATAAATTGAATTCCACAAATTCTAACCATTAACAATACAAAATGAAGATCTATAATTGAATGAAGCTATTACAAATCAAAAATAAATTGAAAATACATTCCATAATGAAGCTGTCATGTTCAGGAATGAAGTTATACATTCTTTGAAGAAGAAAAAAAAAAGAATGCAACTTGGAAATATTTTCAAAATGATTTTTCATAGATATGAAATAAAAAAATAAAAATAAATAAATATATAATAATATAAGTTGGTATAATATCGGAAATATGAAAATTTTAAATATTTGAAATGACTCAGGAAGTCACCGGTAAATATTGAAATAACGTGTTGGTTTATGCTAACGAACAACATAGAAAAATTTCATTTCGATATTCATAAACTGTCTATAGAAAAGCGTCGTTTGTATTGCACTTGACACTTATTGGCTTTTTATATGTATTTTAAAAAGGAAACCGAAATGGCATAACGGTTATTTATATTGTATGCGTATGGTTTTAAAATTATGTAACCACATTTGCTAAACGATGTACCAGAAGGTCAGGGTGACATTCAAATCTTTACAGAATTCTTCTTTTTTTTTCTTTTTCTTTTTCTTTTTCATTTATATATAGATATATATATTTTTTCTTTTACAACTTCATTAATGCAATGATATTTCTCTTCTATAACATCTTCATTTATTTTATCTCTTTATTTTTTTTTTAATTTATTTATTTACTCTATTTCTTAAAATTTTTTTTTTCAAATTTACCTCGTTCCTTTAATTTCAGTTTTTATCGATTTTTTTTTAAATTAATTTTTATAAATATTTATAAGTAAATTTTATTTTACTTTAAATAAAATTTTAATTATCTATTTATTTGAAACATAAAAAATAATTAATTTAATTTTTTAAATTAAAATTAAAAAAAAAATTTTTTTAATAAATTTTCATAAATAGATTATTAAAAATTGTTTTTTTTATAATTATGTGAATAAAAAATTAAATAATAAATTAATAATAATAATAATAATAATAATAATAATAATAATAATAATAATTGATTAAATAAATTAAATATAAAAATTAAAATAAATATTAAAGTAAAATAAATTTTATAATTATTATTATAGAAGTTCTTTGGTACAATAGAACAAAATAATTAAATAAATACAAATTTTTATAATTCTATAAAGAAAAAAAATTTTTATAATATTATATCAATAATAAATTTTTATAATTCTATAAATAAAATTTTTTTTTTTAATTCCATGAAGAAAAAATTAATTTTTATAATTTTATAAATAAAAAACTTCTTTTTATAATTACTTAAATAAAAAAAAATTAAGTTTTATCCTAATTATATAAATTCTTTGGTAAAAAATAAAAAAAAAAGAAATAAATAAAAAAAATAAATAAAAATTTGTATAAAAGAAGAAAAAATTGAAATTCGATAAAATTATGTAAATTATAAATTTTAAAAAGTTTATAGATAGAAAAATGAGAAATAATTAAATTTTTATAATTATTAAAATAAAAATTTAATTTCTATATTTATGGAAATAAAAAAATTAATTTTTATAATTACGTTAATAAAAAATTAATTTTTATAATTACGTAAATGAAAAATTAATTTTATATTTATGTAAATAAAAATTTAATTTTGTATAAATTAAAATGAAAAATTTTATTTCTTTTTAATTGAAAATAAAAATAAAAAAAAGAGAGGGCAAAAAAAAAATAAATAAATTCCCGAAACTGAAATTAGAAAAAAAAAAAAAATAATTAATTAATGAAAATGGTCTCACCATCCTCTCGACCTTCGGCATCCTTCGTCGAAATTAGAAGATCTTTGGGACATGGCAATTTTTCTAAAAGATTCACAAGCGTTGCTAATCTACTCCAAGCATCACCAGGAGGTCTGCAAATAATTATTTTTCGTTACAAAAATTAATTAAAATTAAAACTATAAAATTAATTAAAATTAAAACAAAAATTAATTGAAATTAAAACAAAAATTAATTAAAATTAAAACAAAAATTCATTAAAATTGAAATTAAAATTAAAATTAAAATTTATTAAAACTAAAATTCTAATTTATAATTTTTTTTTATTTCAGCGTTTAATTTTTATTTTTCTATTTACGTCCCAAAAAAAATTTTTTTTTAAATTTCTCTTTTTCATTCCCAATAATTTTTAATTAAAAAAAAAAAAAATTTTCACCAGAAGTGCCGAGATTTTTTTAATTTTCGTCTCCTTCAATAATTTTTCTCTCGTACCCCCCACCCCCCTCTCGAGTGTTTGGAAAACAAAAAGAATTCGTTTCTAAGCATCTTGATAAGTATTATAACCGTCGGAACGATTTAAGATGAATAGCAATGAATTTCAGTGAACCTGAGCAACACACACAGAAATTCTTCTCGCCATCTTTCGAAAAGGGGAGGGGCGGGGGGGGAGGGTTTGGTATATACCTTAAAAAAAGGGTAGAAAAAAAAAAAAAAAAAAAAATTTTCGCCGCGACTCGATAATCTTTTTGCATTCCGTGCGCTCTTCAGTGAAAAAGGCGGATTATCAAGACGCTTATCCGTTTCATCGGTCACGCTCTGGTCTCGACCTTCGCTTCCACTATACTGGAACCATATGTTGAACATTTTTTAATCTATTGAATAAATTTCTATTATTGCTCACAAATAATCAGCATCAATTTATCTTAAAACACGACCATTAATTTTCTATCTCAAAAAAAGATTCGTGACACCCGATGAATATTTTCAATTTTTTTCTTTTTTTCAAAAAAAAATTTTTTTTTTTTTTTTAGATTTTCCTATTTGACGTTTAATTTTTCCGTTAGTCAACAAAAAGAAAGAGGATTATTTTTTTTTTTTTTTGGTAAATCCATAAGCTCAAAATTTTATTCATAAAAATTGAAATTTTTTCCAAAATTTGTAAAAAAAAAAAATTTATTTATTTTTTGCCCTTTCGTACATAAAATAAAAATATAAATAAATAATAATAATAATAATAATAAAGAAATATAAATAAAATTTTTTTAACTTTTTTCCAGAATTGAATTTTTAAAGAAACATAAAAATTATTAAAAAGTAATTGAATTTTGAAAGAATTACAAATGAAATTTGTAATAATTGAATTTTCAAAGATTTTGAAAACTTTCAAACAATAAATAAATTTTACAGAATTGAAAATAATTCATCAAATAATTTTAGATGATTTAAAAAAAAAAATAATTGAATTTTCAAAGACTTACAATTCAGATTTTAGAAAATAATTGAATTTTGAAGAGTTATACTTAAAATTATGTAAATTCAATTTTTTTCATTTTTTTTTAAATTATTTTTCAATTTTTCAATTTTAAAATTAAAGTTTTTAAAGGAAAATATTAGAAAAAATTAAATTTTAGAAAGTTTTAAATTGAAATTTCTAAAAATAATTAAATTTCAAGTGATTTTGAATTGAAATTTTTTTTGCTAAATAATTTATTAAAATAAAAAATTTGATAAAACAAAAATTGAATTTTAAATGTTTTTAATTGAAAATTTTTTTCAGATAATTGAATTTTGAGAAAAGCATTTTAAAAATCATTTAAAATAATTGAATTTTGAAAGAGTTAAAATTGAAATTTTTATAAATAATTGAATATCGAAAGATTTTATTAAATTTCAGACAATATTTAAATTTTACAGAATTAAAAACAATTTATTAAAAAAAATTTAAATAATCTTTTTTAAAAATAATTGAATTTTCAAAGATTTACAATTCAGATTTTTGAAAATAATAATTAAACCTCGGAAAGAGTTATACTTAAAATTATTAAATTTCATTTCATTTTTCAATTTTTCAATTTCAAAATTAAAATATTTTTTAAAAAAAGAAAAATTTTTAAAGAAAATTTTAGATTTCATTAAATTTTAAAAAGTTTTAAATTGAAATTTTTTAAATTAATTAAATTTCAAATGATTTTGGAAATTGAAATTTTTGGTGATTTCAGTTGATGAAGAATATATTAGAAATTGCAGACAAAAATTTAATTTTAAATGTTTTTAATTGAAAAATTCATTTAGTTAATTGAATTTTCAAAGAATATTTTAAAAATGATTTAAAATAATTGAATTTTAAAAGAGTTACAATTTAAAATTTTTAGAAATAATTGAATTTCAAAAGATTTTCACAAATTTCAGACAATAATAAAATTTTACAGAATTGAAAATAAATTTTCAAATAATAATTTGTAAATAACATTTTTTAAAAGTAATTAAATTTTTAAAGATTTGCAATTTAGATTTTTGAAAATAATTAATGTACCACAGAACTATAATTAAAAATTTGTTAAATAATTGAAATAAAACAAAAATCTAAAAAAAATTGAATTTCAGAAAATTTTAAACTAAAAAACATTTTCTCCAAATTTCAGTTGCTGTAGTTTTTTTTTTTTAAATTTATGATAAAAATTCAATTTTCGAATTTTTTGAAGAAACGTTTTTAAATAATTAAATTTCTCAAAAAATATTAAAATTATTTTGTTAGTAAATAATTTAGGGTCAACTGGGGTAAATCCGAACGCTTTTAGTAAGTTTCAACAATAACATAAGTTTTTTCTTTAAAAAAAAAAATACTTCCGGTATTCTGGTGCATGAAGTTGTTACTTTACTTCCATAGAACAATTTTATGGGGTAGAAAAAATTTTTGATAAATTACAATCGCAGGAAACTTAGCGTTCGTATTTACCTCGATACTTTGCAACTTTCCTAAAATATGGGGGTAAATACGAACGCCACTGTATTTCAGAAAAATCTTAGGGAAAATAAATTTAAAGTATTGCAATTGTTAAAATTATATAAAAACTCAAAAAAAATACGATAATAAACCTATTATGTAATAATGCATCATATATATAAATACAAAAATCAAACAGGTCAAAAATTAAAATGCATTACACAAATAAAACCTTCAATAACTTTATCAAATCATAACGGATTTTTGCAAAACTTGGTACAGAAAGTATTTTGGAGTGATTGAATGTAAATACAAAAATAAAAGTCAAATTTTTTAAATTCAAAATGGCGTACTTTCCTAAAACTTATTTTTAAAAATGATCAAATTTGCTAATCCTGAAACCCCCCGAGTAACAATTTTCGAGCGAATCCAATGAATTTTTTAATTCTCGTCCGCCATTTTGAATTTTGAAAAACTGACTTCAAATTGGTAATTAGCGACCCCAAAAACCGTAGAATACCAAATTTTATTAAGATCCTGTAAAACTTTTTTCAACAAACCATTTGGCAAAAAAAGTGGAACACTCCTTCGAGAGAACAGAAATTAAGTTTCTGCTTATTAATTACTAACAAGGATACGTATAGAAAGAAAAACTTTTTTCTATGTACTTTTATAATGTTAAAATAATAGTGTAATCAAATAAAAACAATTTTGTGTGGCTTTGATGTAAAAAAAAATTATTAAAAATACCGTTCGGATTTACCCCAGTTTTCCAATTTTTTTGGGTAAATACGAACGGTCTGATATTATTAATAAAATTTTACAGAAGGCAAAAATCAAAAATAGTTTCTGTTCTAGTATTCATAACAAACAATTATAAATAATAAAATGAATTTTTAGCTTCTTTTTCTTCAAATACGAGACAAAATACTGAAAGAGTGTCATCTTTGATTTTCAATCTTTTTTGAAATACTTGATATCTTTGTTTATGCTGTTGCTAATTAACAAACAAAAAATGGGATAATACTTAGAATCTCTTCAAGAGGATCTGAGGTAAAAATTCTCATATCGAACTTATTTTTAAAAATTTTAATTAAGCTGAAATAATTAGCGTTCGGATTTACCCCCCGTTCGGATTTACCCCGACTGACCCTATTACAAAATAAAAATTTAATTTTAAAAATTTTAATTGAAATTAAATTATAATTTTAAATTAATTAATTTAATTTTTATGTGAATTGAATTTGTGAAAATTTTTGTTATAGTAATTGAAAATTATTTAATTTTAAAAGAGTTAAAGTAAAAAAATTTTAAATTTCAAAAAGTTTTAGATGAAAAAATTAGAAAGGATTAAATTTCAAAAAGTTTTAGATGAAAAAATTCGAAAGAATTAAATTTTAGAAGATTTTAAATTGAAATTTAAATTTCAAATTACTTTGATATTTGCAAAAATAGGTCAGATTCCTAAAAAAGAACCCTTTTTTCAATTTCAAATTACTTTTATATTTGCCAAAATAGCTCAGATTCCTAAAAAAGAACCCTTCTTTCAATTTCAAATTACTTTGATATTTGCAAAAATAGCTCAGATTCCTAAAAAAGAACCCTTTTTTTATATTTCAAATTAAAGTTTTTAAAGTAAAAATTTTAAAATAATTAAATTTTAAAAGGATTTAGAAAATTTTGAAAATAATTTGAATTTTAAGTGATTTTGAATTGAAATTTCTGATAATTTCCTTCGTACTGTTTTTTAAATCTAAATTTTTTACAATTTAAAAATTGCAACATTTTTACTTTTTCACGAATTGAAAAAAATTGAAATCTCTTCAATTTCAATTATTTTCTAAATTTTTCTCAAATTCATAAAATACACGGAAAAAAATTGTAAACAGCAAAAAAAAAAAAAGTGAATTGTTGCGCAATAAAAAAAAACAATTGATTGAAGTTATAATTATTGTTTTGCCACTTTTTATAAACGATTAACAATTATGTGAGTCAAACGCTACTAACCACGCAAGGACGTTGTAAAGCGCGACGAATCTGATCCTAGCTTATATGTATATATATATATATATATATATTCTTTCAACTATATTATGTTTCATTGGCTTTCGAACACAAGTTGACGTAATTAACCGTTGACCTTTCAAAGAACTCCCGATCATCGTTTAGTGGCTTCCACTTCAGAAGCACCTCTCGTTTATTTTATTATTCATAGGCAATTCACTCAAAAAAAAAAAAAATTTTTTTCACAATTATTTGCCTTCGCCCGAAAACTATTTTGCAAATACTTTCAAGTTAAAAATGATTACTCATCTTTTAATTCCCCCAGGAGATTTATTTTTCCATTGAATTTCTTTTACTAAAACACCTTCGGTTTCTATTATTATTATTATTATTATAAATTATTATTATTATCATTACTATTATTTTTATTATTAAATTAATATCGCAAACGATTTATTTATTTTTCAAAAAAAGTGTAATGCAATTTTTAATTTTTAAATAAAAAAATTTTTCAAAAATTAAAATTAAAAAAAAAATACTAATTTTCAATTTGAAACTACTAAAAAGGGGGGGGGGGGAAACAAATAAAAAGTGAAAATTACAAATCTGCAGAAAGATAAATTAAAATTTAATTCAAGAGAAGAAAATGACATTTACTTATTTATATTGAAAAATAAAGGCAAAATTTATAAAATAAAATGGAAGATGATGAAGAATGATTGAATGAAGGAGAAAATAAAGATGAGAAAAAGAAGATTAAATAATTGTTTTGAAAAGGAATGATGTCGAATGAACAATGTTAGAGAAAAAAAAATATTGTTTCGTGTGGTTTTTGTTGATAAATAAAATATATATATATATATATATATATTAATAATGCATGGACAAAAATTATTCATACACACAAGTTGAACAGAGGAGAGAAGCGATGATCTGGCAGAAACTATCACGGTTCTCTTCGCTGTTTCGCTATATATAAAAGCGAATGCTTGGTAGCGAACGGCCATGACCTAAGGTAACCTTTTAACGTACACGTCTACAGCATCGCTTTACTTTGTATCTATATATTCTCGTAAAACTTGCCAGAACGAGCACAAAACGTCACTTATTTTAATTTGCAACCTAATAAAGCCGTGTCTGAACTTTTGAATGACCGAATAATTGAAATCTAAAGTCGTATAAATGTTCTTTTTGCAAATTCCAACAATGTTTTTTTTTCTTATTCATCCTTTTTGGAAAAAAAAAAAAAAATTAGGGTCAGTTGGGGTAAATGGGAACAAGAGGTGTTGGAGCTTAATTTACAGTTCTAAAATGAAGTTCAACGTCAATATTTTTGGAAAATAGGATCACTATTTCCTAAAATTTCAATTAAAAAAAAATTTAATATCCAATTATTTTCAAAAATTTCAATTCAAAATCAATTATTTTCTAAATTTTCTAATTCAAAAAAAAAAAAAAAAAAAAAAAAACAAAGATTCAATTATTTTCAAAATTTTGAATTCAAAATCAACTGAATTTCAATTTCTTTTCAGAATTACAACTAAAATTCAATTATTTTTAATATTTTCAATCTAAAATCAATTGAAATTCAATTTTTTTACAAAATTTCATTTCGAAATCAAGTAAAATTCAATTATTTTCCAAAATTTTAATTCGAAATCCATTATTTTCAAAATTTTCAATTCAAAATCAACTAAAATTCAATTCATTTCCAAAATTTCAATTATAAATACATTATTTTCAAAATTTTCAGTTCAAAGTCAACTAAAATTAAATTCTTTTCCAAATTTGAATTAAAATTAAATTACCCTTACTATTTTTAATTCAAAATCAACTAAAATTCAATTCTTTTCCAAAATTTCAATTCAAAATCAACTGAAATTTAATTATTTGACAGAATTTCAATTAAAATTCAATTATTTTCCAAAATTTCAATTGAAACTAAATTATTTTCAAATTTTTAATTCAAAATCAACTGAAATTGAATTATTTGCCAGAATTTAAATTAAAATTCAATTATTTTCCAAAATTTCAATTCAAAATCAACTAAAATTCAATTCTTTTCCAAAATTTCAATTGAAAATAATTTCTTTTCATAATTGTAATTCAAAATCAACTAAAATTCAATTATTTTCGAAATTTTCAATTCAAAATCAACTAAATTTCAATTTCTTTCCAGAACTTTTAATTGAAATTCAATTATTTTCAGAATTTCAATTAAAATTTTATTATATTTAATTATTTCAATGCAAAATCAATCAAAATTAAATTATTTTCCAAAAGTTCAATTCAAAATCAATTAAAATTCGAATATTATCAAACATTTTAATGTAAAATCAATTCTAATTCTAATAGTTTCAAAAAATTTAATTCAAAATGATCTAAAATTCAATTCTTTTTCAAAATTTCAATTGAAAGTAATTTATTTTCAAAACTGTAATTCAAAAGCAACTAAAATTCAATTATTGTCAAAATTTTCATTTCAAAATCAACTAAATTTCAATTTCTTTCCTTAATTTCAATTGAAATTCAATTATATTCGGAATTTTAATTAAAATTTTAATATTTTTAATATTTTCAATCCAAAATCAATTAAAATTCAATTCTTTTCCAAAATTTCAATTGAAAATATTTTCTTTTCATAATTGTAATTCAAAATCAACTAAAATTCAATTATTTTCAAAATTTTCAATTCAAAATCAACTAAATTTCAATTTCTTTCCAGAACTTTTAATTGAAATTCAATTATTTTCAGAATTTCAATTAAAATTTTATTATTTTTAATTATTTCAATGCAAAATCAATCAAAATTAAATTATTTTCCAAAAGTTCAATTCAAAATCAATTAAAATTCGAATATTATCAAACATTTTAATGTAAAATCAATTCTAATTCTAATAGTTTCAAAAAATTTAATTCAAAATGATCTAAAATTCAATTCTTTTTCAAAATTTCAATTGAAATTCAATTATTTTCCAAAATTCCAATTGAAACTAAATTATTTTAAAAAATTTATTTCCAAATCAACTAAAATTCAATTATTCTCAAGTTTTATAAAATTTAATTATCGTTGAAAAATTAATAAAATCTTTTGCAATTCAATTATTTCTAAAATTTTCAACTTTAACTCTGCCAAAATTATTATTATTATTAAAAAAAAAAATTTTATTTAAAAATTTGTAAAACTTGATTAAGTATTTCCTCAAAATTTGATTGACTTGTTTTTGCTCTCAGTCGATATTTCTGTAACTTTAGGATTTTATAGTTTCTTGCATTCTGAATAAGTTTTTCCTTTGTGCAAATTTTTCTAAATATGAAATTTTAATTACATTTCAATTCCAATATTCGAAACATAAATTTTTTGTTGGAAATTAAAAATTTGTTTAGAAATACTCACCCTACTCTGTAATCCGTACAAGAAGGCGGAGGATTCCATACTGTACTGTGACACAGCATCCAGTCACACCAAATCTGCAACAGTAAAAAATTTCTCCATATTATTTCTAACTATAAAACGGAAATTATTAAATATTTCCTAAAACGAAGATAAATCTTACAATATTTAAAATTAAAAATTTCTTAGGAAAACAATTTTTTGGAATAAAAATTCTAAAAATAAAAAAAAAACTGAAATAGGAAAGACGAAGGAGACTCCCTAATTGAATAGTCTGGTAATAATCTAGGATTAAAAAAAAAAAGAAGCAAATAAGATACGAATAAATTCTTGCAGTTGAATGATAATAAAGAAAACGCGAATCTCTTGTTGTTGGGTGACTTTGGCAAACGGAAGAAGAGCTAACAATGTATTTTAGCGCACGTGTATCTTGTCCGCACGTTATCGACAATATTAATAACCCAACCTCACTTACGGAACTGTTGTCCCTGACATTATTTCCCTAGCGATCGAAATCGCGATAAGAATCAACCCCTTCAGGACAGGGGTTCTTCCCGGAAGAAGAAATCGAGTCAAGGCTTTACCTATGAATCATGAGAAGCTGCATGAAGTTACAAGTCTCTCTCTCTCTCTCTCCACGCTCTAATCTATAAGTTGTACGTTTGATCTCACCTCGAGAGTGTATTTACTGGGTGTACATCTCCCTAACAGAATGTATATATATACAGAACCATTATTCCATGATGGCTTTTTCTCTGGTAAATATCTCTTTATTGCCTATATTCACTTATATGAATTCATCAAATGACTTTTACCCCCTAATAGATATTAAATTATTATCATTAATAAGATTCCGAATTAAGCAAAATCTATTTAATCCATATTAACTTATATTTAAAATTCTTTAAATTCTCTAAAATTATCAAATATTGATTGACTAAAAACTTATTTGGAATCGTCAAACTGAATTAAAAAAGAAATTAATTAATTTTTAAAATCAAAAAAATTTAGACGAATTAAAAAAAAACACTAATTTACCTCTCAAGGTGGTACTTTTTAGACTTAAGATTTAATTTGCTCAGATTTCTAAAAAGAAAACCCTTTTTTGTAGAAATTATCTCCAATTTTAGTTTGGTACAATTTTTTTTTTAAATTGTACTCCTTTGCGGATAATTTGAATTAAATTAGCTCAGATTTCTTAAAAGAAAACCCTTTTTTTCGTAGAAATTATCTCCAATTTTCGTTTGGTACAAAATTTTTTTTAAAATCGTACTCCTTTGCAGATAATTTAAATTAAATTAGCTCAGATTTCTAAAAAGAAAACCCTTTTTTTCGTAGAAATTATTTTCAACTTTCGATTCGTACAAGATTTTTTCGAAAAAATCGTATTCTTTTTGAAATAGTTTAAATTAAATGCTGCGAGTCTCGACGGCGCCATCGTTTTTCATTTTGAACTCGAAAACCGATTTTAGCATCTCTCTCTCTCTCTCTCTGGGTCTGCTTCCTCTCTCCTCTGGTGTTATGTGGTTCCTCGCGGTTGAACGTGTTTCAGCTAGCGCACAACGATTTATGGAAGCGACGCGAGTTTTGCACCCACGCGAACCGTTGGTGGTCAATGTCATGGTCTGAACCTTGTTCGTAGGAGCATCCACTTATTATGCAAGCAACACCCCGATTAAAGCACTTATCGTATGTATATATATATATATATATATATATATACGCCCCACGTGTGCTCGCGAAAACGCTCAATGGAATATCAACTGAAACTATAGAAGTAAATTTAAGGTTATACTGACGTTCCTAATAAAAAATTTATATTAATAAAATTATCTGCGGGTGATCGAATGATCACACAAAAAAAAATTAATAATAATAAATAGCAACGACTTGATTTTCTCGGCTACTCAAAATAAATCGGTAGAGAGGGAGGATTTGCCAAAAAAAAAATGCAGCAAAAATTGTCACAAAAAAAATTAATTTAAATTAATACAATATAAATTCAACAAAATTACAAAATGTAAATTTCACTTTAATTAACTAATTTTAATTTATAGCATAATTTTTTAAAAATGTCGGATTAAAATAGAAGACAGACAAAACTAAAACGATTGTGCTCTCTTGTCACGAAGTTCCAAGATTAATTAAATCATGATAAATGATAAAAAAAAATTAATTAGGGAATTTTTGGAGGAATTGTTAAAACACAATTAGAAAAGGGAAATTAATAGTTGTCAAAACAGAAATAAATATTAATATGAACAAGGGTCAATAATACATTTTTATAATAAGAGAGAAAAAAAAATATTAAAACATGTCATAAAATAATGTAACACTTCAAAGAAAATTAATACAAAAAATTCACCAAAGGAAATTCAATTTAATAAAAGAAAATGGACGATAGCATCATAAAAAGACAAAAATTAAAAAAAATTCTTTTCTTGAATTTTTAAATAGAAAAAATTCTTTTACGCAGAAAACAATATGAATAGCCAATACAATCACTATTTAATAAATGTTGAATTATTTTAATTTAGACACACCAAAAAAAAATACGACTTCTCTCTTCGGAGATTGCTGACAAAAAAGAACGATTCTAATATTTTGTTGTCGTCTGCTAGTAAACATATATTTTTGTGTGTTGATCCAGGGCTGTGTTGTAAGGGTATTTCAGAGTCCCCTTTTTATAGGCGGCAAATTTTGAAATTACGAATCAAAAAACGAAGTTTACATAAATGAAATAAAAACAAAATTAATAAAGAAATTTAAAATTAAATCAATTTTAGAATATCCGCTGCAATCTTCAAATATTTAATAAAATTTATAAAAACCGAATAAATAAAATTAATTTTCAAAAACAAATAAAAATTTGTTAATTGTAAAATTAATAAAAAATTATACGTCACAATAAATTTAAAAAAAAATTCACAAAATTCCAAATCGTAAATCAAAAAAGAAATTATGTAACAAAGTGCCTAGGGTCTGTAAAATAATAATCATAATAAAAATTATACCTTTATAGCTGGCAACAAAATTTGTAGATCTTCTCCAACGACAAGTTTCGGCAGTTCATCACTCTCGAGCTGTGATTTGAGCAATGATACACCACGTTCCAAAATAAGACTAAACATTTGCAATGAAACAACGAGAGCCCTCTCTTGAACCTCAGATCTGTATCCCTGTTCCATTTGTGAATCTGCAAAAAAAAAGAGAGAAGATCTTTTAAAGTAGATATATCATAATTTAAAAGAATTGAGTAATTTTCACTTTCAAACATTGAAATAGATTGTCCTGGGAAATTTATGAGAGCGACATTGCGCGGTACCTTTTATCCATGCTCTTTAGTACCTCAAGGTAAATTCTACGAATACCAGTCTAAGTAACATTCATCTTTAAAGTAGTCGGTCTACAGACATCGGTACGAGTTTATTAGCGAGGATAACCCGAGACTAATTAGATACGTAGAGGTATTAAAAAGCTTGGTACAAAATTAACCTGGAACCAGTCTCCGAGAATAGTTGAGCAAAAAAAAAAAAAAAATGAGAAAAATGGTTGTCGACTTGGAATTTATTTGGCTATTAATAAATTTCTTTTTTTTTGTCTTATCGTAAGGAGTTAACTACTTGTTGCTGGTAATTAATTTGTTAGACCAAGGGACAATGACCATAAAACCATCTTTAATAGCCATAAAACTTGGGTTTTACAAAAATTATTCTACTAGGCACTAAATAATCTTGAATTTAAGAAAAATACAGCAGAAAATTCACATAAACAATAGAAATGTAAAATAAAAATTTTGACAAGCCTATAAAAAATCAAAGAATTGTGAAATTTATATTTGGTTGTTAATCATTTTTTTTTCTCCTTAGACAAGAGAGGGTAAAACTTTAACTACTGGTTGTTGGTAAAATAATTTGTTGACCAAAGGGGACAATGTCTATAAAGTGTGGCATAGTGAATAAGTTTAATGACTATTTGCAATGGACGGATATAAGTACGCGTGTGCAACTATAGCATTGTCCGAAGATAATCAAGACTTAACTGCCTCATGAAACGCGTTACGTCGTTAAGGTAACTATAATGCGTGTTAACAGGATACCGAGCGCAAAATAGATAAACGGCGTTGTGACGTTAACGACTTCGAACGCATATTAACCAATCACTTTTCATTCCTCTTCTTTAAGAAGAGTTATATATGATTGAACGACGCAAGAAATGAAAAGCCCAAGACTCTTCCACACTTGAATTTTAATGTAATCACTAAACAGTTAAGCCGCACAGCGGCAAAGTATATATGTATATAATCGATTACTTCAATATTTGCTTCTGAACACAAAATTGTATATTGAAAATTGAATTCACAATTTAGCGGATTTTTAATATTTCAAGGCATTTTTGATACCTTTTTTCGTTTTATTAATTTTAGCTCAGATTTTCATCCAGGAATTTTTTTTTTGATTTAATTTCAAATTAGTTAATCGACTTCCAAAGGAGAGGAACCAATGAAATTTTAACCTTTCGAAATTAACGTTGTTTAAGGGAAAGGGAAAGCTAAAATTTCAACCTTTTGAAATTAAAGCTGTTTAAGGTTGCGAATTTCTTTTTTTCACAATATTGAGTATTTCAAACTGTAATATATTATGGGAAATTGAAAAAAAATATTAATTTATTAATAATTTTTCAAAATAAAACTCGAAATCTTCAAAAACTAAAAATTTAAACTTCTCTCGCAATTTTTATTATTTTAATAATTGTTGATTTTTTTATACATTTTTTTCATGATTCTGAATAATCAATCGTATGGATTTTTAAAACTTTTAATATTTTCCAATAATAAAACTTCTAAAATTGTCAAAAAAAATTATTTTTAAAATTTTAATAATTCACAATAATTTTAGATCTCAAATAATGACAGAGAAAAAAATTAACACCCCTTAACAATATTAATTTCACCAGTTCCTTTCAAAAAAGTCGATTTTTTTTATTTTAACAAAAATTTAATTGGTTAATGAATATTTAAGTGTAAATAACTAATGTTATTAGATATTAAATTAATTAATTTATGAAGTTTTATTAATTCTGTAATGAAAAAAATTTTATAAAAATATTATCAAGAAAATTTATTTCCAACTTTCAAGAATCAAACGAAATGTAAGACAAATTTTCAAAATTTTATTTAAGTTGGACAAATTTCTAAAAAAAAAATTTTATAAGTTTAATTTTTATCATTTTTTCAAGTGTGATTTAGAGTTCAAATTGAAATTTATGAAAATAATTGAATTTTCGTTCATTTTGAATTGAAAATTTGCAAAATAAATGAATTTTAATTGATTTTATATCAAAAATTTTTAAAATAATTGGATTATGGTTGATTTTGAATTAAAAATTTTTTTAAAATTAAATTTCAATTGAAATTTTGAAAAATAATTAAATTGTAGTTGATTTTGAATTAAATTTTTTGAAAATATTTGAATTTTAATTGATTTCAAACTGAAATTTTTGAAAATAATTGAATTTTAATTGATTTTTAATTGAGAATTTTTAAAATAATTGACTTTCAAATGAAATTTTGAAAAAGAATTGAATTATAGTTGATTTTGAATTAAAAGTTTTAATAATAAATTTATTTTGAATTGAAATTTTGGAAAATAATTGAATTTTAATTGATTTAGGATTGAAAATATTAAAAATAATTGTTTTTTTATTTAAATTTTGAAAATTAATTTAATTTTAGTTGATTTTGAATAAAAATTTTAGAAAATAATTGAAATTTATTAAATTTTATAAAAAATTTTAATTGAAAAATAATTTAAGATAATTTAATTTCTAAAGAATTTCATTAAAATAAATCAATTTTTTAAAGAAAATAATTGAATCCAGAAGAATTATACTTAAAATTATATAATTTCAGTTTATTTTTCAATTATTCAATTTTAAAATTAAAGACTTTAAAGGATAATTTTTGAAATAATTAATTTTTAAAAGCTTTTAAGATGAAATTTTTGAAAATAATTGATTTCGAATAAATTTTATTGTTATATCTGTTAATGTAAAATTTATTAGAAATTACAAACAAAAATGTAATTTTAATTATTTATCATTGAAAAATTCTTTCAGATAATTGAATTTTCAAAGAATATTTTTAAAAATAATTTAAAATAATTGAATGTTGGATAATTTACAATTGAAAATTTTAGAAGTAATTGAATTTTAAATGATTTTGGCAACTTTCAGACAATAATTAAATTTTACAGAATTGAAAATCAATTATCAAATAATTTTTTAAGTAACATTTAAAAGTAATTTGAATTTTTAAAGATTTGCAATGAAAATTTTTTGAAAATAATTAAATTACGGAAGAATTTTAGTTAAAAATTTGTTTAATAATTGAAAAAAAAGAAGATTTGAAGAAGATGTGCATTGTATCTTTTGGGAAAAATTAACTTTAAGTTAAATAAATGTTTCCTTGTTTCATAAAGCAATTGATTTTTAATAATTTTTTAGTTTAATTAAAATTAGCTCAGATTTTCACCAGAAAATATTTTTTCTATCCTGAAAGAAGAAGAAAATTTGTTACTTTTATTATCATTAGCTTAGATTTTCACCTAAGAATTTTTTTTGTCCTGGAAGAAGGCAAAAGAAGAGAATCTATCAGGGGAAAATTAACTTCAAGTCCAGTAAAGATTTCCTTGTCCCTTGTTTATTAATAACTTTTTTTTTTATTTTCATTAAAATTATCTCAGATTTTCACCAATAAAAATTTTTTTTCCTCCTGGGGAACAAGAAGAGAATTTTTTTTTCGGTGAAAAATTAACTCCCAAGTTCATTAAAGCCACCCTTGTCAAGTGAGGAGGATCAGTTCGATGTTTCGGATCATGGATCAAGATTTGTGGGGATTCGAGTGAATTGCAGCCGAGTGTATGTGTATGTATGTATGTATGTGTGTTGTCGATAGATTTCTTCCCCGGCCACAAATGAGTCACGAAGTCAATGCTCGATGTTTACTGTTCAGTGTTCACGGATGCGAGGTTGTTGTCGGTTAAAGGGTGGTGTGCGCGGTGACGGTGCAAGAACCGCGAGATGGTGGCGAAGCAAGCACCTCCTGCTGGCAACTCGGGCTCAATGTACGGCCTTGACGAGGCCTTGCTCGATCGTCGTGCCATGCTGCCATGATTCTATCCATGTCCCCTTCTTTGACGTTCATCTGGAAGCTGCGCTGCTTCAGGGAGAGAAAGAAAGAAAAAAGATCTTCTAGGATTAGAGAGAGAGAGAAATACCACTTCATTTTGACTTTCAGTTGTAACTTCCCTTTAATAGTCTTTTTTTTTTTTTTTTTTTGTTTTTCGATTTAAATTGGAGATTCTTGTCGGCGCATTACTACTCTCATTTTCCTACGTTACGAGTCATTCCGAACACCGAATGACAACCTCCTCGGTAATTGCAGTTGCATTAAGCAGACGTGAATCATCTCCACTTTGCTATTACTGTCGTTTTTTTTCCTGCTACACCAGTTCTGCGTCCTTCAAAAAGGGAGTGGCAAAAATGAAAAAATATATATCAGTTTTTTTTCTAAAATCATTTCGTTAAATTCAAAATTGTAACAGGGGTGCATAATCGGATAAGTTACGGTCGTTTAGATTATGTAAATTAATTCCAAACGCCTGGAGTTGTAGATAAAAAGAGATTTATCAAAAAATCCGGCAATTAAATTTAAATCAATATTTGCTAAAAATTGAAAATTAAATTTTTTTAATTCAGTTAGAAAAAGCGCAGCAGCACAATTCCATTTTCAAGTTCAATTATAGTTGGGAATAAATTTTAATGTCAGTAAAAGGAGAAAACAAAGTGAACGACAGCTTTGCATCACGCCACCGCATCGGGATCACGCAACTCTTTCTTCTTCTTCTTCTTTACTCTGATTTTACATTTTGTGCCTCCTTTTTTGCTTCTCCCTCTCTCGGCTGCTTTTTCCATTTTCCTTTTTTGCTCGGCATTCGCAAAACGTGGCCTGCGAGCAAGAGCAAGCTTCCTATAATCATAGCGGGAATGATACTTCGATGTAATAATGATTATGTATATTACCGCCACGTACCACTAATGGACCATCTGACTATTCCAATGAATCAAGTCAAATTTAAAAAAAACATAATTTATCGTTTCTTACTCGAGAAATCGAAACTCAGTTCCTTAAAGTTC